TTCCCGGATAAACCTGCTGTTCGAGCGCCAGCTATCCTGAGGGAAACTTCGGAAGGAACCAGCTACTAGATGGTTCAATTAGTCTTTCGCCCCTATACCCAGGTCGGTCGACCGATTGGCACGTCACGACGGCTGCGGGCCTCCACCAGAGTTTCCTCTGGCTTTGCCCTGCCCAGGCATAGTTCACCATCTTTCGGGTCCTATCGCGCGTGCTCAGGCTCCACCTCCTCGACGCGGTGGGCAAGGTGGGCCAGTGGTGCACCCGGAGACGTCGTACCCCGCGGGGCCGGGATCCCACCTCGGCCGGCGCCGCCGCCGGCCCTCACTTTCATTGCGCCGGGTCGGGTTTCGTCAGGCCCTCCGACTCGCGCGAGCGTTAGACTCCTTGGTCCGTGTTTCATGACGGGTCGGGTGGGCTGCAGACATCACCGCGGACCCCCTGGCGCCCGTCCGAACGTGGGCCGGTCCCCGCCCTGGCGGCGCGGCGCGCCCGGCGCGCACTGGGTCAAAATGCACATAACGTGTGAATTTAGATTCAGATAATTCAAAGAATTGACATTGGGGCCTTTTGGAAATATTGGCTATGTAGGAAATTTCACGTGCTTGCCTTCTGGTCATCTCTGGACTGGCCCTGCCTGTATCATTTAGCTTTGAATGCGTGTTGTCACATAGTGGAGCCATTGTTGTGAATTTCCTACGTGCTACAGGAAATAGGAAGTATACACACACATACACTGGGCATCTTTGTGGAGCCTCGATATCAATCTGTGTAGGCACACATCTGGAGTCCGACTAACCTCATGCACAACCACACACACTTTTGCTCTGCTATATGCATATTATATTATTATTATTATATAATGGCGTCCACTCATGCACCAGTAGACATGCACAGGCCATTCTACAAAGATTTACCTGTGTTCGTAAAGTGTCATTGCAATGACTGAGCCACCTGATGATACAATAATGTAACTTGTTAGTTTTAGATGGAGTTTACCACCTACTTTGGGCTGCATTCCCAAACAACCGACTCCGAGAAGGCCTCGCCCTGGCGCGCCGGGGGCTGCTACCGGCTTCACACCGTCCTCTGGCAGAGCCTCCTCGTTTTGTCATGTGAAAGCCCAACGCGGTGGTCGGGTCCGGCGAGGGGCGGGGGACGCTCGGCTCTGCACTTAGGGTGACAAGGGCTGTGCCCCCCTCCGAGGATGGGGGCGGTGGCCCGCGACGGCCCCAACCGTGGGAAGGGACGCGCGGGGGCGCCACGATCCCGATCGATGACGAAGCGACGCTCAGACAGGCGTGGCCCCGGGAGGGACCCGGGGCCGCAAGGTGCGTTCGAAGTGTCGATGATCAATGTGTCCTGCAATTGAAATTAGTTCTCGCAGCTAGCTGCGTCCTTCATCGACGCACGAGCCGAGTGATCCACCGCTGAGAGTCGTACGTGGTGTTTTCGTTTCGTTCGCGGCCAAGATTCGGAGACGGGGGGTTTATCAGGGGGATAACGGCGCCCCCGGGCGCTCCCGCCCGCGCCCCGGCTGGCGGGGCGCGGGGTAGGGAGACATTGAACCCCCCGCTCGCCCCCCAAGGC